CACACACACATACATACACACACACACACACACACACACACACACACACATATATATATATATATATATATATATATATATATGTATATATATATATATATATAATTAAACACAATTCATGCCTTGAATAATTATCTATTCATGAAAGAAGAGATAATATTTTGAGCAACAGCAATCTGTATTATTCTTACACTTTAAAACGGAATAATCTCTTCGTGAACCACAAGTGTTTTCACTGTTCTTTTCAGTAAAATACTAATGCAGTGATTAAATAAAGGAGAATATTTATAGTTCAGGGTTGAAATATGGGATCCTCAGAGCTTGGTTGTTTTCTTGCAGACGTTTCATTACCAAACTAGGTAACATCATCAGTGCTAGTGCTGAATGTCTACAAAAAAACAACCAACTCAAAGAGCACCAAGGGCAGTGATTAAAATGAAGTACAGAGTCCTTTCCCATGCTAACCTGATTCCTTTCTGTCCCCCTGTTCTATGCTTGAATTGCTCCTGGGTTACTCTTCTAATTTCTCAGCCGAAGAAGTATAATCATAGCATAAACAGGAGCATTCAGGACCTTTCAGGTTTTTTGTAGAAGCTTTTCTTCCAGATGTTTCATGATTTTTTTTCTCTTTCATTTTTCTTCTTCCCAAGTTTTTTTTAAAATTTGTACTTGGAAAAGTCCATTTTAAGCACTATATAACCAGTCATCAAAGGAATATGAGTATCAGAACAGTGGGAAACTTTCCATGAACATTGGAGGATAGAAATGAGGAGATAACTAGGCAAGTAAGGCTAATATTTCTTCAAAAGAGTTGAGAGTAGGAGTTAACAGGGAAACGTCTGGGTATTTTGGCTGAGAACGAACTGTCTCCATACGCTTCAGTTATTCATCCACTGCTGTTTTTTCCCAATTATGAGAGAAAGAAGTATATTTGTCTTTACAGAAAAAAACTTAACAAAAACAACAAAAAGTTAAGTTTTGAAATCATTTGGGACAATCTTGAAGTTATTTTCACGCCATGTTTTACTAGAATAAGTATGTTTGTTATTATACATGAATGTTTGTTATTTTACACTATATACCAATCAAGTTGGTATAATTGTTCAACATGTGCTGTCTTTCTGACTCATGAAGTTCCAGGGTTTAAAAAGATCTGAGAAAGATCTAATGCTTAGATCTCAGCTGTATGATAGGCTCCTCCATTAATTGGTAGCGTTAAGACATCATTTGATAAAATAGTGCCAATAGTCAGAGAAACTACTGTTGCAACACTTTCAAAGGCAATCATTTCATATTAGGTATACAATAGAAGGCTATAGCAAAGGGTCAATATGTCTAATACTTCACATCCTAACAGCAGCGAGAATAGTGTATGCACAGCAATGGAAATGTGAAAATTCCCCTTCAGAAAAGAAGATAATAAGGAAGATATTAGCATGCACAGAAATGGATAGACTAACATTAGAATTAAAAAACAAAAACGAGGCAGAATATTATGACACATGGAATAGATATTATCAATGGTTGGAAACATGAGGTGGGAATCGGAACACGAAAAAATTAGGCTAAGTAGACCTGAAATGTGATATTATATAAGTATGTATTAAAATGAATACATTGGTCAAAAATAATTGTATAAGACTAGCACTGTGTAAGTAGTATATATGTTATTTGTCTTTCACTTTGGTTTCTATGGCGGATGAAATGCCAGGGCAGTCACACTGTGTTCAATATGTAAATAATAAATATATATATATATTTTAAAAAACAATCATTTCATGAAGGGCTATCTCTTGGGAATGTTGTAATTATTGGCTCTTGCAGTGTTCAAAGAGGTAAACTAGATGCTTTCCTAAGTTTCTTGCCCTTATGTTACATGGTTCCATATGATACCATTATATCTCCAACCTCCTTTTTTGTGTGAAAAGATGTGCAGTGTGCTTATGTTGGTCTCATGTTCTTACACTAGGTTGACACAAAGTATAAAGGGACAAAAAGGGAGGGCAGGTTTGTATCTTTTACAACATATCTTTGAGTTCTCTGAGTAGAAATTCAGCTATAAACATGTTTCGCTGAAATTATTTCAATGAATCTTGTATCCAGGAATGTGTAGAATTATGTACTTAATTTCTTTAACAATGCATCTCTTTAAATTAGCTGGGATTACTAAATTACTTTTTATTCTAATGGAAATGACTAACATTTCTCATTTTGGCCAAGCTGAGTTTTTAGATATCCAAGGATGATATATAACCATAAGAAATTAGCACATTACTTTCATATTTTGACCATGAGTAAAAGATGGTAGAAGTGAAAGAGAAAGTTTTTAGTACAAAATATCTGCTATTTAAAAAATATTAGTCCCATTTTCATTTGAACTGGGTCCAAGCAACATACCATTGGTATTTCTTCCCTGCAAATTGAGCATTTGTCATCAAGAAATGTTTGATCAAGAAATGGAAACTTCTATTGGAATCCTATGTAATGTCAGATAGTACACTAGGCAGATTTTGCGGAATCTAAAAGAGTTATTCTTATTCAGGTAGTCCTCAACGTATGACCACAATTGAGATCAGAACTTTAATCATTAAGCAATGCAATTGTTAAGTGAGTCATCATGCAACCATGAATGGTTTTATAACCACTTGTGCCATGATTGATAAGCAACTCACCTGGGCATTAAGTGAAATGATTTCCCTCAACAATTTTGTTTGTCAAAAGCCAATTGGGATAGTCGCGAATGGAATGTGACAACCACCTCATGCTGGTTGCAAGTACCCAAACCATGATCCTGTGACCCCAGTGACACAGTGACAGTTATAAGTGGTCTGGTAAGACTGGCCATAAGTCACTTTTTTCAGCAGCATCGTAACAGAACAGTTTTCATAAGACTAGGACTCCTTTGGATGGTATAGTCACTTCAACACCTCTCTCTTGTCATGGTATCTAAAGTTTAATCTGATGGTGCCATCTGAATGTATTGATTTTGGCCAGAACATTCAAGAAATGACTTCCTATGCTTCCTGTGTAGTCATTCGGGAAATGGGACTCTCTTCAAGCTATTGTTCCATACATTGGTTATATTAATCAGTGTGAAAAAGCTGGAGGAGCAGATAGCCAAATGCACCATTAAGAAGTAAGCGTAATGGCAATGATAGAAGTGCAAAGTTTAGCTGCTTATGAATGAAGGGGGAAATGGTTCCAATAGTCTTGTCTGCATTATGTTCTCAGCATACAGTTTCTTTCATATGTAAATAAAGTCTTCCTTCAGATGAACTCAGCTTCTGGGATCACCCTAATATTTGTGGTTGGCGTCAATCCACCCCTCCCAAATTTGACAGTTTCTTGTAATGAATGATCATACTTCATTAGCTTGGTGAAGTCTTACTCCCAATCGCAATGAGCTTTTCATGTGTTGACTTGTAGCGCCAACTGGCTCACTAATGTTGGGAACTTGGTGTTTGATGAGTTTAGTTTTCTTCTTACAAATATTTCATGACCAAAGTAGGTTACTAAGATCCCAGTATTTTCACCCTGAGCTATTCTTCACTGTTGAACTCACTATTGTTCATTTTGCAGGCCTGGCTCGGAGACCAGACGTCACAATGGCAGAGAGCGAATGACTAGCACCAATGAAAGGGGAAACCTGTCTATGGAGTCTACCAAGGAGACCCGCTATTGTGCTGTTTGCAATGATTATGCCTCTGGCTACCATTATGGGGTTTGGTCCTGCGAGGGCTGCAAAGCCTTTTTTAAAAGGAGCATTCAAGGTAATATAACATTGACACACCTGGCATGAAACTATCTTACTCAATGCCCTTTCTAATTAAGTAATGAGAGTGATGTTTATTACTAAACAGATTGAAATTGTGGGTTGGTATATAGCTCATAAAATTTAAACGTTTAGAATAAAGAAATAAAAAAATAAATAGTTCATGCCATATTAAAAATGCATATTTAGTCCCTGTTTAACATATAAGTGTGAATACATTGAAGTTTGTAAGCATGAATTGGAAATTTGAAAAACGCTACTCTGGACTATTATCTGTACTGAAATATTTTGTAAATAACTTAGATTTGTAAATTACACATCTAATCCCAAGCACCCATTTTGCTTGTTTCTTCAATACTTGCCTGCTCTATCTTTGTGTAATGCTGCTGTTACAGTTCATATAACAATAGCAGACAAAATAAATGCAGGACTCCCTAAAGGAGCTTTCCATGAGATAATGGTCAATGTAGGTATAGTATAGATTCTACTGCTTGAGCAGGGGGTTGGACTAGAAGACCTCCAAGGTCCAGGGCTGGGCTGCTGGGGGTTCGCATGGGTTTGGGTGATCCTCTAGCTAGGATTTTGTCCAGTTCAGCAAACCCACAAATGCCATCCCTGGCTGGCACCGTCTACCCCACGTGGCCTGTTCATCATGCAAAGTAAGTGCAGAGCCCAGGCAGAGGCTCGAGGAGGGCAAAAAACAGGCCTACCAGAGGTTCCGGAAGTCCAGAAATGGGCCTCTTTCTAGCTTCCAGAGGGCCTCTAGAGCCCAGGGGAAGCAGTTTTTGCCTTCCCGGAGGCTCAAGGAAAGCCTCCAGAGCTTGGGGGTGGTGCTGAAAAATAGGCCTACTGGAAGTCCAGAAACAGGACATTTCTCTTCTCTGGAGGAAATCAGTTTTCATCCTCCTGGAGCTTGAGGAAAGCCTCTGGAGCCTGGAGAGGCTGAACCCCCCCCCCCTCATGGTGTCGAAGGCCAACTAGACCATGCTCACCATGGCCACGCCCACCCAGCAACAGGGCAGCAAATCCGTTTCTGGAACTTTTGAGGCCCATGCCTGCCAAGGTCCCTTCCAACTCTATTCTGATTGATTGAGTCCCCTTAAAATATAAGGCACCTACAAATCTCAATTCCAACTCAAAACCAGGAAAGGCTTTCAAGAAGTCCCCAAACTGTTTGCTGAAATGAGGCGACCGTTTATGAATTGATCCAAGTGAACTAATTGATTGGAAAATTCTTAGTCCTGATAGTAGTGAGGCAGATGTTTGAAAGTACTAGATTCTTATGCTGAAATACATGTAGTCCTCAATTTGCAACAGTTCATTTAGTGACCAAAGTTACAAAGGCACTGGCTATATTGTGTTGGTAAGTTGAGGACTCTCTGTATTACCAGCTTGATGGTAGGTTGCCATTTGCCCCCTCCCCCCCACCCTCTTTCTTGGCCTTCCCTAAGCATTCTGGGCAGGCTTTCAGTATGAATGGAATCTGAAGACCTTAAAGGCAGAAACAAAGTACACACAGTTGTTCTGACCCCCCCCCCTCTTCATACACCAAAGCACGCCGAGACAAAGATACTTCAAGGATTTATTAACACACAGTCCAGGCCTTGGCAGCAATCCAGCACAGACTGAACTTGGCAGCAATCCAGCCTGCCAAAATAGCCACGATAGCTTCTCCAGCTCTAGTAAATACGTTGATTCCTGCGACGAGCGTGTAGAAAGTCATTCCTTTTATAGTCTTGAGAGGAGCCTAATTACCACCAGCTGAGTTCCATTATCTCCTGTAACTGCGCAACTGTTCTTTACGCCTATTAGCCCTCCGTTGCCAGGCATCCAGGACCAACTCCCATATCTCCTCCCCATTGCTCCAAGGCTTGACTTCAGGAGCACGCTCCCTTTGGCTCTCACCGCTGCTCCAGGCCTCAGATGCCTCCTGGTGGCCAACCAGCCTCTCTGCGCCCTGCTCGGAGTCGGAACCCTATCCAGGGTCCTCCACATCTTCCAGAGCCAACTCATAGGGCCCCTTGCTGTCGGAGTCTGGTGGCTCCAACGGCTCCTGCTGTGCCACAACACACAGTATATGAAGAAAAAGTAAATACACAAAAGAATAAAAACATGCATTTCTCTTCCTCTTGGCTCCTCTTACTAGCCCAACTATCGTTTTTTGATTTGGGGATGAACAAATTGTTGCCAACACCACACTCAGTCCTTCATTTTTGTAATGAATCACTTTAGGTCCCTACTTAATGTTTCATTGCTCAGTACATTTGCCTTTCCCAAGATAAGCAGTTGAATCTATTACTGTCTACTGTCTTCTTAAAGTGATGCTTCTCATGTAGTGAACTGTAATCTGGTTACAGAGATGTTCGTTTTTTAAAAAGTATATCCCTTATGCTGTAGTCCTCATCTCCTCCGCCCCCATCACAATATTTTCATTGCTGCTTTAAGATTTTCTGTTTCATCCAAAAGCTTTTTTCAATTACCACTAAGGGGTGCCATGTGTATTCTTAATATAGTTTCATATCAGCACATGTTGCTCTTTATTGATTTTCTGTATCAATATGTAGAGAGTGATCTCGAGATAAGAGAATGTGGNAAAGAAGAAAGCAACACTGATCAAAATGATTCCCAAGGGTTCTTTGTAAGACAAGAAAGTTGTGAGTTTTTTGATGCAAACGATCTGATCCTTGTTGGGATAACTTTCTTCAGGACATGGGAAGCAGTCATCTGAATCTGGAAGAAGAAACAGTGTTGTCAAGCATATTGAGAGTTAGCACAGTCACCCCCAACTTTCAGAAGCATTGATGTTTAGTACCTGGAATTTCAGAACTGTCACCATACAGAGGGGGAGTTTTAGGATTTGATATCTGTTGTGGCCCAGCATGAGCTGTTAGAGCTGCAAACAGACTCCGACAGCAAGGGGCCCTATGAGTTGGCTCTGGAAGATGTGGAGAACCCTGAACAGGGTTCAGACTCTGAGCAGGGACTAGAGAGGCTGGTTGGTCACCAGGAGGCGCCTGACGCCTGGAGCAGTGGTGAAAGCCAAAGGGAACATGCCCATGAAGTCAGGCCCTAGAGCAGTGGTGAAGACGTCAGGCCTTTGAGCAGTGATGAGGTTCAGAGGGAATTGGTCCCGGACGCCTGGCAGAGGCGGGCGGATAAATGCCGGCAGCAATTAAGGAGAGAAAGGAGATAATTGGACCCAGGTGGTTGTGATTAGGTCCCTCCCAAGAGAGTATATAAAGAGAGACTTTGGGAGGAGGCTGTTTGCAGGATTCAACTAATATACTAAGGCTGGAGAAGCTCTCGTATGTATTTCTTATCTTGGAAGTCTTGGTTGCTGCCAAAGTCTTGTCCTTGTTTTAATTTACTGTGAATAAATTGTCTAGCATTAATCTTGTGCCGGCGTGCCTCACCGTATGGAGGGGAGGGGGGTCAGAACATACACACACACACACACACATACACACACTGGTTTTGTTGTATTCGGGTCTTTTCCCTTTTCCAATTTTGATGTGCATTTCTATCATTTGGCAACCCAACCAGTTCCAAGAGTGTGTTAAATAAAGGACTTTAAAGCATTTCCTCTGGAAAAATCTCAGAAAAGATTCCACCCTGACAACGTCCAGGTGGGCATAGGAGGCAACATATGAGGGCAAAGTGCTCCACATGGTTTTATTCCAGTGCCCCTTTATTCTGTGAGAATCTAGAGAGTGTCAATTAGATATTTGGTTTGACTCTTATTAAGCACAATAGTAAATACTCGTGGTCAGTAGTCAGATTTTCTATTCTGATTTGTTAACTCTTTAGTTGAGAGCATTGAAATCTTTTGGAGACAAGTAGGAAGCATGAGCAAATCAGCAACTCTCCCAAGAATCCATTTACAAATTGATTCTTAAAGTTTGAGACATAAGAAAAAAAAATCGCATAAAGCAAATGTATTTTCTCTTACGACCTGAAGCAGATGCACAATATCAAATGTGTAGAGTTTAAGAAAGAACAAAGAATCCAAAGACAGCCTAGAATCTTACAGGTAATATGACAGTGAAGCCAGTATGGTTTTGTTCTGACCGAGGCTTCCCAAGAACATGAAGCAAACTCCGATAAAAACCCCTTTTATTAATTTACTGTGAATTCTGCTCATTCATATCCAGCAAAGTCTTTCAAGGGAGGATTTACAGTCACAGACCTTATCTGGCTTGGAGAGCTGCCAGGCTGATATCTTTCAGATGTTGTGGTACTTGGCAAG